TGGTTTTGGGCAGTGTTGTTTGGCACCATACGCCTTGGATAGGGTATGGTTGCGGGATTGAACTGTTATAAAGGGAATAATTTGATGATGTGTTCATTGTACATACGCCTTGGATAGGGTATGGTTGTGGGGTTTGAACTGATATAAAGAAAGAGATTAAGAATGAGTTTATTTTGTTTTATCGGAATCGGACTTGTGACCATTGACATGAGAACTACGTGTGGCTTGATCCCTTGTCCAAGGGTACGTAGGCAGCCTGGGGTTTCACCAGGTGCAGCTGCGGAAATTTTATTGCGTTTAAAGGGTTTGATCAATTTTGAATGAGTGATCGAATTTTTGATGTGGTTAATGGATTCGAATCCGGTTTAATGATTTTTTGGGAGTAATCGTAAAATTGTTTGAGATCATGAATGGTTTGGTTTTGAATTATCTGAAGGCCGGAGGCCTATTATGTGATTGCATGTTGTTAACTTGTGCATGCTGCCAGTTGGTGTTTTAAAATGTGTTTTATGCAGGTTGAAATTTTTGGGAAATGTTCAATTTACAGGGGAGACTCTGCCGAATTTTCGGCAGAAAGTCTCGGTTTTTAGTAAGTGGGCCCGAATCGGTAAGATGTCGGAATTTCCACAGGATTCGTCTCGGGTTCCGAGGAATTTCAGGGCGGGTCCTGTCACCCTCTTTCTTGTTGTCTCTCTCTCTAGCTCGCTCGATCTCTTCGCTGGCTTGCTCGATCTCTCTTGCTAGCTGGCTCCATGTAAGAGCCTCCCTTCCTCCATTCCACAGGTAACAACTCTCCTTCTCTTAGGATTATTTTCTAAAATTTTTGAAGAATCAATTTCTATATCCCTAATCTGATTTAGGGTTAAAATATTTGGGTGTTTAATTGTAAATTATCTGGGCAAATTGTTATATTTTTGTAAATATTTTCGATTTGTATAGAAATTAAGGCAACTTTTGCAACTTTTCTGAATTTTTTTGTTTTTTTTGTTTTAGGGATTTATATATGTGTGAATATGTGTTTGTTCCTCCATTGTTTATGAGATTCTGAATTAGAGAAATCCATTTGATTGAAGCTTGGAAACAAAGCGTGTATGGAGAAACAGATTTTGCTTGTGACTCTGTCGATTTGAGTTTCTGTTTGGATGCTGTGAAAGCTGAGACAAAGGGATTTGAAAAAGGGGAGCATAACTTATCTGGATTGGCAATTTCAATATAGTATGTTAACTTGCAATATTTAAAATTCCAGCTCTTTGCCCTCCAATATATATTTGTAAAAATTTCATAAGACCCATTATATATGACGTACCTTACTTTAAAACAACAATAAAAGAAGCTGTTACTTTTGTTTGGAATGTCAGGCACTAAGAATTCCTTTGTAGCAAACTGAAAAAGACATATTGAAATTGATTTTTGTTCAGGTTAGATTCCTCCGTATCAGTCTATTTTACTTTTACTTTTCTTTTGAATTCATCAAATGCAGTGTTGTTTTCCTTTCCTTTGCCAGTAAGTATATATGATCTTCTGATTTCCACTATGTTGAAAAAATTTTAAAATGGGAGTTGAGCCCCTTATGTTTGAGTGAGACCACCGTGTATATATGTATCCTTTGGCTTATCATTGTTCTATTAATTGTGGAGGAGTTTAGGAGAGGACATAGTGGATTTGACAGAATATCTTGAGATCAGAGGATCATTTTATCTTGTCTTTGAATTGTGATCTTTAACATTTCTAAACACACAAGTTTAAGTTGTAAATTGTTTTTGTAATGTGGTTTTTCATTTGTTCTTCTGTGTCAATATTGATTTTGAATTTTCCATTAGTTTTGCTATTCTTCCTTTTTCTGTGGATAAAAGAGATTTATACTACTTTCATTTGTTTATTTTCTCTGGATTTTCTTTTGGGTTTTCATTGCTTTGGATTTTCTACCTTCTGTCTCTACAATTTGTTTGAGTTTTTATTGATTTTGGCCTAATCCAATTGTTTTGATGTCAATAGCAATGTGAAGGGTAACATTTGACGATGGGTAGAGGCTGAGGACAATGGATAGGCATGTGAAATAGTAGTTTTTCTTTGAGAAAGCCAATACTTTAATTTCACCCAGTAAGTCTAACATCCTTATAGTGTGTTTGGAAATTGTTTTAGCATGTCTGTTTTCAAAGAGATATGAGGTTGCAGGAAATTGTAGTTATTTTCAATAGATTTAACAATACACTTGTGTGCTCTGTTATGTTTTTAGTGCTCATAAAGCAACTCTAAGTTAGTCAAAATGTTCTTCTGTATTGTGTTACAAATGAACTTTTCCTGCATAAGCTTATGCTTGTATAGATGATGCATATTTTTTGTTAGCTAAGATGACAGCAAGATAATGTAATCTTATTGCGGTTTTTGATTGCTCAGGTAAGATGACATGGCAAATAGGTACTGCAGCTTATATCAAGTGCAGCTCAAAGACCCAGTTGGTAGACAACTTAGAAGAATATAAGATCCATTTGACCAAGATGACTTAGAACACTACTCCAAGATGACAGCTGAATGTGAAGAATAAGTACAAATTGTGGAAGATACACAACCATAGGTTAATGCTTGGGATATGGTATTTTGTAATTATAGGTTATAATGTTATAAATATGGTATTTTGTATGGATATAGTAGGAATCAAGATTGGTAAGCTGCAGCTTATATCAAGTGCAGCTCAAAGACCTAGTTGGTAGACAACTTAGAAGAATATAAGATCCATTTGACCAAGATGACTTAGAACACTACTCCAAGATGACAGCTGAATGTGAAGAATAAGTACAAATTGTGGAAGATACACAACCATAGGTTAATGCTTGGGATATGGTATTTTGTAATTATAGGTTATAATGTTATAAATATGGTATTTTGTATGGATATAGTAGGAATCAAGATTGGTAAACAATGTAATTACAATTGAATATTCAAGTTTTATGAAAGAAATAATTTTTTAGTATATATATTGTTCAGAAAGCATTATGATTGTTTTTCTAGTTAAAATTGTTAGAGAATTGTTGAAAACGAAAAAAAAAATATAAAATGAAATAAGTACATCATTTTTACATATAATAAACGGCCGTTTTTTGGAACAAAACCGTCTTCTTTAGATTTAATAGACGTCTTTGGATATAATAAACGACGGTTTTTTTTAGAAAAAGTGTCGTTTTTACATTAAATAGAGAAAAAGTGTCGTCTTTACATTTAATAGATGACGGTTCTATAAAAAAAACTGTCGTCTTTACATTCAATAGACGACAGTTTTTTCAGAAAAAGTGTCGTCTTTACATGTAATAGACGACGGTTATATAAAAAAAACTGTCGTCTTTACATTTAATAGACGACGGATCTTTTAAAAACCGTCGTTTTTACATATAATTTACGACGGTTAATTACCGTCGTAGTTTGACTTTCAAAAAGATGACGGTCAATTTAACGACGGTTTGAAAAAGAAAAAGACGACGGTGTTTCCCCGTCGTCTATTTCAATTTTTGTAGTAGTGTAAATTCCTAGGTTGTTATATTTTAGTTTTTCTGTTTCCTATGATTCTATACAACTATTTTTACTAGAAAACTAACCGTAATGCTTTATTAATGAATATATACACTCAAAAATTGTTTCTTTCATAAAACTTGAAGTTATTACATAGTTAACCAATCTTTATTCCTACCACATACATACTTCCTACCACATCGATAACATTAACCTAAATAATGAAGCTACATGTGATTGCTCACAAATTCAACCAATTCGATATGAACATCAATTTGTTCTTGAGTGTGTGAGTTAGCTCTGTCTTCTTGCACATTTTCCATGTTGTATTCACCTCCCCTGTAGCAGTATCAGCATCTCTTCTTGGCCTGTAAAATTAACATCAATCTTTACAAATGAAGCTTGAGACAAAGTGGTTTAAAGAACAGTTTGTTTAAGCACCTGCCACATTCGATACAAACTTAATAATACTATTTTAGTTATTCACTGATTTTATGTTTCAATAAACATGGCCATGAGGAAAATATACATACCTGAAGGGTGCAAATAGTATCCGTAGCTGACAAGATAACACCAAGTGCTCCATGTAGAGAAGTGATGAAATAAAAAATATGAGCATAAAAGGGCAAAAATAAGAAGGAATAAATGTTTCAAATACAACACAAATATAAACTCAAACCACCAAAACGTGAAAACTATCAACTTGAAATTGATGTTGGTTATAATATACCACAACAACCTACAACTTTGGGTATTACCTGGAAGCAGAGGACAAGGTCTCCAACCTTCAAATTTTGACAAAGTCACCCTAAACATAAAAGGACCACCAAGAAATCCAATGACAAAGTCACCTTTGTTTGTGTTCTAACCATGCCCCATTTTTTGATTACCTTGCCTCAAATTCTAACTCTGATATGTTTTCGGTCTTTTCTTCTGCTTTCAAATGCACAATAGTAAAATAATAAAATGATATGCGAATGATATTATGTGAAACAGATAAAAGCAGATAAAAGCAAAGCGCAATTAATTTCAACAGATAATCTCTCCATTTTCTAAGTCTGTTCAATAGACATTTATTATTTACAAAACCATTTCTGCTTTCAAATGCACAATAGTAAAATAATAAAATGATATGCGAATGATATTATGTGAAACAGATAAAAGCAAATAAAAGCAAAGCGCAATTAATTTCAACAGATAATCTCTCCATTTTCTAAGTCTGTTCAATAGACATTTATTATTTACAAAACCAATAAAGACCAAGAAGAAAAAATTGAGAAAAACTTGAAAAAGCCAGTTAATCCAACTTTGCAAACCGACCTTGTATGATCAATTGTTTCATAAAGTTGTTATATGTCCACCAAACTCAATAACTAGTTAATCCCAAGCTTCCTCCTCATCTCCTGAGAACCAAATCAGAAAATCTAAAAAGAAACCAGAAAAAAAAAATTGTAAAAAAACCAAACAAATCAAGAGAGACAGAAAATCTGAAATCAGGGAGATAAAAAACATACCAGAAATTCAAAGAGACTAATCTCGAATCCACTAGCAAGATATAGAAGGGTATTGAGAGATTAGGTGACTTTCAAATCAAACCTTTCGAAAGGTAGGAGGCTAGGGTTTCGATCTTCACAATTATCAGGAGATTAGGACAATTATAGGGCTTGGACCTTCAGAGGAGTGCGACGGCCAAGGGTCTGAAGTGGCCTGCGCGACAGATTTCGACGAGTCTTTCTAGATCGCGACTACGAAATTGGAAAGCTAACCGGACCAAGCTGTTGAGGTTGATGAGAGAGTTGAACGCCTGAGATGGAGATCATCATTAAAAAGTGTGGAGATCGAGATCTTCACCATCCAACCAAATTTGATTCTCAGATACAGAACCTCCCTCTCCATCTTGTCGATCTGCGAAGACCTCAATCTCTCAACTCCTTCATTGATATCGATTTTCTGATGATTTTGTAGGGTGTTTCAGAGAGCTGAGGAGGGTTTCAAGGAGGGAGAGATAAGGTTTTCAGAGAAGGGGGAAAATCTGAAAATTTGTCGAGCGCGAATTCACTTAAGCGGCCTTTTTTTAGCGTGTTTTAAAAGACGACACTTGTTACTGACAAGCGTCGTCTTTTAAAAATCAAGTGGCCTTTTTTTTGTTCAGCATGTTTTAAAAGACGACGCTTGTCACTAACAAGCGTCGTCTTTTAAAAATCAATCTAACGCTAGTAGTGTATAAGATAATATATCATGACGGTTTTAAAAACACCGTCGTCTTTTAAAATATAACGACGGTTTTAAGATGCACCGTCGTCTATTTGTGTCGTGGTTTAACTATTTTGTAGTAGTGATCAAGGATAGATTATTTTAGTGAATGGGAATTCATCAACAATATCTAGAAATTCATAAACTCAAAGCATCAAAACAATAGAGTATTCATGTTTAGGGCTTCAACCTAAGCCCTAGCTATGGAGTTTAGTTGCTCATACTTATTTCAAACACAAATTCAAAACAAAACTAGAAAGAGTTTACAAATTTTGTAAAAGTGATGGAAGCTCAAGGTCTTCAATGGTGGAAATCTTCTTCCACTTCTTTCTTGGCTACCCTTGTCTTCCTCCTCTAGCTCTCTAGCTCTTTAGCTCCCAAAAATCTCTACAAAGTTGAATAATGATTCCCCCAAAATGGCTGATGCACATTCATTCTCTTTTGCCCATCCTTATCTCCTCTTTTCCAGCTCATTCTTTCAATATTAAACTCCACATTTTGCTAAAGCCTTTTGCCTTTGTCTCCTAGCCATGATGGGTTTTTTTGTTCTTATCTTCGCAAAGATGCTCTTTGTCTCAGAAAATTGCACTCAACCAAAGTAATTTCTTGTCACCAAATGGTATGGTAACAAGAAGAATCAAGATGATACAATGGAGGTAAAAACTGGCCCAAGACAAATCTCTAGAGCTGCTGTAACATAGGCTATACTTGTCCAATGGAGCTCAAATTTGGATATGTTGTAGTCAACATCCATTGGAACAAGTTTCATGAAGATCTTCACCTCATCCGAGCACCGGAGCATGCTGCTCCAAGGCCAAGAAGTTGACCAACGAAAATGAACAAAAACAGAGTTTATAACCAACAATGCATTTTTAGCTCATTTTCATTCTAACCAAGGTAAAATCTATGAAAACACAACAAGGAAGTAAAAAGCTATAAAAATTCAAGAACTAACTCAAAATAATGGGTGAATAACATGATAAATCATGTGTAAAAATAAACCCAACATAAATAAACATGGCTCCAGTATTGGCCATATAATCGATGCCCCAATTTGAAAATAAACAAGAATGAGGATACAAATAATTTGCACTCTCATATTTCCTCGCTAAATAATCTACTAACAAGAATTTTTGGATAAATAAAATAATTTCTAGTTCCTATTGGCTTTTTGCTACTTTTAGCAATTAAATACTTAAATACTTGCAATTGATGTTCATATATTACATAATTTTTCATTTGGACTCTTCAGAAACACTTATAATCAGATTTGGAGACTCTAAATGCCTAACTATTGAAATTATACTCCTCTAAAATCATATTCCTCAACTTGGTACATATATAATATATATAATTTGGGGCCCTACAAATGCAAGGCTCATGGCCATCACCCTCCTTGCCCACTGTCAGGGCCAGCACTGGGAAGAGGGAAGAGAGACAGAATGATAGAGAAAGAGGAAGGGATGTGCGGTACAGAGAGGGTGGGGGTGGACGGCGGCGACGAGAAGGTTGGGTTGATGCAATTTGAGGTGAAGGGAAGAAAGTGTTTTTTGTTTTAACAAAAAAATTTAGTTTATTAGTTTATAAATATTTTTTAATAATTTAATTCATTAATTAAAATATTTTCATTATTTACCCTATGTGGCAAGATATGGGCGGCTCCACGTGGCAACATTAATTGTCATGTCATTAATTAATGGAGAACATGACGGTCAAACTAACGGAGGTATGAAAGTGATATGAAAATAAATGTTATGTATGCGATTGAGATGAAAACACTTCATGTAACGAAGGCTGAAATTCGGTAAACTTCAAGGTAGTAAAATGAAAATTACCTTCTCTCTTTTTTTTTCTTTTTTTTTTTTGTTCGTGGTCAAAATTATGTTTGGACATTGGA